AATGATATTGAAGTTCGACGGCGGTGGAGCGGAGTCTACGAATCTGAAATTTCAAGGGGGCTAAAATTTTCTGTTAGTGGAAAAATTGAGAAGCTGCGTGGGTTAGGAGGATGGATGGATTCATATGTTGAGCTGGCTTTAGAAGGACATACACTTGAGTGATTGATTCATAGAAGCGCTCAGAAGCTCTAGCTCAAGAAAGATGTGAAATGCTCTAGTAAGATTGGAGTTTGGGAGTTACGATTTAGTCTGTCGGAAGGGGAAAGCAGATGGGGAAATAAAAAAATAAAAATTGCAAAATAAAAGTTGATTTTAGGACACTGAGTCGATTTTAATAGCAGAAGTGTCGCATATTAGTATGGTTGTAAAGCCTATATTGACTCGACTGTTAAACTGGTTCTGAAAAAATTTTAGGACATAGAGTTTTCATGTATATGGTTTATAGATGTTATATTATATTAGAGTGCATGAGTTACATATTTGTTACTACTTGGTTTTTTATTAATTATCTTTGAGGTGGAAGGATAAAAAAACATTGAGTCGAGTTTAAAGTGCATAGAAGTCATACATAAAATATGATAATTTTTTTTGAAAAGTATATTACTAAAAAATGGTGGTGAACACGGACTCAGCTGCCGAGCTGGTTTGGATTGAGATTTTAATCAGGTGTCAGGGAACCATGTGATTATAAATTAGGCTTTATCAAACGGGCCATTCGATCTGTTTGACCCACCTCATGCCAAACTTCAATTATTCTTTACTTTCAGACTTTCTATTTGAAAATAAAAAATTGTGAAAGAAAAGAGAAGACCGCAATTCATCATTTGCACGAACAAAACCATGAAAATTCGAAATGAAACTAGAAAAGTTTTGGATCATTTTAATGTTAAAAATAACCAAATGGACCTTTCTGTTTAGTTTTTTTACTAACAAATACCTAACGATTCCCTATAAAATACACTATAATTTAATCATTATGATATCAAAATTACAAAATATATATTTGAAATGATAAAATTGGACTAATCTAGTTGGTCAAGGTTAAACCATTTAATAATTTTAAAATATATTATATTTTAGCCACTAAGATACAAAATAATAGCATAATATATGTTTCAAATTAGAAAAACTAGGCTAATCCAGTTGGATCCTAGGTTAACCATTTAACCCTTTCCGTGAATTGATGAATGGATTGTTCCATTCGGATTAATAACTTTGAAGACAAGATGAAATTTTTATCAAGAAAATTAATCGGCCAACGGGCCGAGAGGCGAGAGCTAGCAATGATTATGAGATGCTCATTTTCCGAAGACCGGTGGGATAGGCGATTTTTTATTAGATTTTCTGGAATTAGGTTTGTATGAAACTTACTCCACCTCATCATATTACCAGAAATAATATTGTTTGACAAGGTAACAAGTACTCGAACTTGGTTAATAAGGCTGATTTTTTATTCGTTGCATCATCCATATGCCTATGTCCTACTAAAATTCACTATCTTTGTCACGTGTTAAAAAAAACTATGCAACAATAAGCTATACACCCTATTACATTCTCAAAATTCATACATCACCTTCCTCCGGCCAAGTGGCCGGGGCTCCACGCTAGTAATAATAATGAAAGAGAACTATCCGCTAACACGTTAGCACATCGATAAAATATCAGAGAGATTTATGATTTATAAGTAATAAATCACTTTTACTGACAAAACACTTTTTGAAACAAAATAAAAAAGAGTACTAGTAAGAACTTCAAAGTTAAACGTGCTCACTTGATGGACAATCTCTTGAAAAGTCACCTTGATATGCACCCAAGGCAAAAATTGTGCGAGTATCGGTGCAAAGCGGACAATATATTGGTTGGAAAAAGGTTTGGGATGATGCAACTGCTATCAGAGCCTCTCTGCATCCCATTTTGGTGATGGTGGGCAAACCTCAACGAGGACGCTAAGTCCCTGAGAGGGGGTGTATGCAACACGTTAGGCAAATCCCACATCGACAAAGCACAAGAGAGATTCATGATTCAAAAGTAAAAAACAGACATTAACCGACAATACACATTTTGGGGTGAAATTGAAGAGTTATTCTAAGAACTCTGAAATTAAACATGCTCGTTATGAAGGAAATAAGAATGGATGACCTTTCGAGAAGACACCTTGATATACACCCCCAAGGAAAACACCATGCGAGTTTAGACCCAAAGTGGACAATATCTTTGTCGGAAAAAATTCGAGAGGTTACACTTACCTTCGATTAATCTGAAAAAGAAACTTATTATATTGAACACTTATGAATTCGAGCTTTGAGTTTTTTTTTTATGAAAGAGTTTTAAATTCTAATCCTTTTTTTTCTTTTTTGTAAATAGCTCGCTTGTATTATAAAGAAATCAAAGATGTCAGAGTTTACAGACCACAAATAAAACATTGTCATAAATCAAAACTACCAACACCTGTTGGAGGCAAAGAAATTATCTTTTTGGCCACCAAATGAGACGCCCGATTTTTTGTCTATAAATTCCTCTGAGAATGTTGTCGAAGCCGATTAATTTCTTCCGAAATCACTCTACCTCGCGCATCTTGCACCTCCTTGCCCCCTTGGGGTCGTTTGCTTGTTGCATTTGTATCACAGATTTGGTACCCAAATCACAAGTTTGATGGTTTAATACAAGTATATTGTTTGTTAATGGGTATCGAATCCATGAGGTCTATAGATTTGGCAGAAGGTCTGCTAGATAGACATCATCGCATAAGGAGGCTCCAATTATCACATATCGAATTTATCCAATTTTTACAGTGCGTTGGTTGGTTGTTCATGAATTAGATGTACCTACATTTTCTTTTGGGGTCGATATCAGCGATGTAGTTCGCTCAACAATAAACCTAACCCTAATCACAATTAGTAATAGAACTATGACACAATCAAACCTGAACGAGAAAATTGTTGAATTGAATTATACCAGCTTCTATTAGGTTTATTACTTATTTTTATACTTGTTTTATTTTCTTTCTTCAATTAATGGAAGAGAAGAGAATAGTACAATAATAAATAGATAGAGTAGGAATTTTCTTATCCCATCAGAAAGATATCATTTTGTTCTTTAAAACGGATCCAAATTCATAAATCAAACGCACTTGTAAATCTCAATAATGAGTAGTGATTTGTAAATCATTAATGACTATTGACATATGTAACAAATCTATCATAAATATATCATCAAATCTATCATGCTAACAATAGACTCTCCAAATCAATAATATAATAAATTCATCATAAATCCCAAAGTTTCCCCCCCAAAACCATTATTTTTCAAATCCAACGAGCAAATGAACCCCTAATCTTGTCGATGATAGCTTGCACATCCCTATGGAATGCCACCTCGGTTAGATCCTTCGTATAGCTCAAATGGATTGCATCTCGTAGCGCCATCAATTCGACTAAGAAAGGATCCACTAAATTTGCATACTGGAAAACCTGCACGTAAACCACACTTATCGCCATGTATATCACTACTTGTCCCCCAACATAATGAGAACCTGCCAACACCGCACCATCAACAAAGTAAAGAAAATGAAGCACTACCCCCATTTTCTTTCATAGCATCTCGCCCTACTGGATGCAAAACAATAGGAACCAGATGAATTGGCAAGGCCAACCACTCATTCACTTATTCGTGATATTCGTGAAGTAATACTGTGGAACCATACTAGATGAAATCAAATACAACCCAGTTTCTATACTTCTAGATTCGCCATAAAAGAGTGATTAATCTCATGATCCCCCTCAGACGAAGAATCGCACCCAACTATCTCCGTGCGAATGAAATTTCCCATCACACCATCGAGCTCCAAGTCGTCTTGATTGATTAGGGTTGAATAAAAAGACTTAAATTTTTTAAAAAACATGTTAATGTCAAATCACTCCTGCTATACTTTCAAATTTTTTTCTTTTTTTCCCGTTGAATTAGTTTCTTTATTGACGTAAATAGAAAACCAATACAACGAAGCAAAAGCTATGGTAGCTTCTGCGTAGAAACAACCTCATCTCACCTCAACTAATTACATGTAAAATACCCCCCCAAAACATTCAAAGGTACCCCAAGTTCACGAGGTCTGCCTGCAATGAGGCATTTCCAACTATCATGAACTGCAACTAAGCCTGCAGAGCCTCCGCTACCTTCATAGGATCTCGCCTGGACTCACCATGAACAACTCCACAACGTTCTCTCCAGATAGAAGAAAGCAGCATACTTCAGACGACACCATGCCACCTCGCCCTGCCTGCAGATCGAGTAGCGGAACTAGCATTCAAAAGCATGGCATCCCAATTACCTGGATTGAGAAGCCTGCATCTCATGAGCAAAGCAAGGCGTTTCGAGAACGGCCATTGGAGGAGTAGATGCTCCCTAGTTTCCACTGAGGAGGCACACAATGGACATGATGCATCAGTTACTTTGCCCCAGCTCAGCAGTTTGTCCCTTTGTGTAATGGCATTCTTTAGTACTAACCAGACAATCATGCTGTAGCGAGGAGGGCAAAGCTTACTCCAAACAAGCTTATACCAGCAAACTGTTTACTTCTCAAAGTTTCCCACACCGTACGCACTGAATAAACTAACATTTTGTTTGCCCCCCAATAGCTCTCACCATTTCTTATTTGCATCCATGGCCGGATTTTATCTCTTAATTTTAGCATATACTTTCAATTTTCTTAACCTATATTTGTTACTTTTCTTAAACCTTTCCAACTAATACTTTCATTCCCTACCTAATAATTTTATTCTTTTTCATTTTCAAATTTATTTTATTCTTTTTCATTAAACATAAATATAAATACGATGCAACCATTAGACTGTAGTTTGTAGATAGGTCAAAATTTATTTATAATTAAAAAAGAAACTAACATAACACTAAAAGAAAAATGACGGCTCATACCAACTACCAAGTACGACCCAGGTTAAATGGACTTGACCCACACCCATGCCATGCCGGCCCAAGCACGGCCTATCCCCGAGTCGAGATACATATCCACTTTCATGCGTAAGTATGGTGACCAGATTGATATTTATTCACAACCTTCTCTCTCGCACGTGGTAGATGAGCAAAACGTGTGCCGGTTTCTACGATACATAAACCGATCAGACGAGAATTTTGCGGTTCCCTCCCGTTAGCCGTTCTACCGTCGACGCTCATTCAACTCACTCTCAGAAGCCTGTGTACCGATCGAATTCCATCTCCGATTTGATTAGAAAAACAAAACGGCACCTCAGCCATGACGGCGGAGACGCTGCCGTACCAGAATGGCGCTGTGTCCAACGGCGGTGGCAGTGGTGTTGCCTCCTCAAATACTAACGTGGTCGCCAATGGAGATCCGAGTGCCGCAAACCCTAGCTCCGGCAAGAAGGCGAGAGAGAGCGAGCGTCGCCGGCGGAGGCGCAAGCAGAAGAAGAACAAAGCTGTTTCCCATGCTCCTGATGCTTTAGCAGCAGCCAATGGCGACGATAGCGATGCCGACGAGGCGAAGGAGAACGATAATCCTCAGAAGGTAGGCCCCCGTGTTTGTTTCACTTGAAGACTTATAGGGTTTCGCTTTTGCTAATTCCTTCGTTTCAAAATTTATGTAGTGTGTAGTTCTAGTTTCTGAGTGGAGAATTGCTGTTTACTAGCTTGCACGATTAGTCTTTTTCCTGCTTCATTTCGATACTCACTCTGCTTATCTTTCCTTTTTTGGGGTGGTAGGGTTTTGAGCAAGTTGTAGTGGAATATGTTCCCGAGAAGGCTGAGTTGGAAGATGGTGTTGATGATGAATTCAGAAAGATCTTTGAGAAATTTAGTTTTCTCGAGGGCACGGCTGCTGAGGTATGCAGTTAGATAATATTCCAGTTTCTTGTCAATTTTCAAGTCATTTATACTGTTTGCTCCGGATACAGGATACTGATAAGAAAGATGAAGCGGCACAAATTGTTGAGCCTAAGAAGAAGGCTGACTCAGATTCTGATTCTGAAGAGGGGGGGCAAGATAACCAGCAGAAGGATAAGGGTGGCTTGTCAAACAAGAGGAAAAAGGTATGAGCAGGAATGATGCTTCCTTTGGTTTGTTTTGTTTTACCCTACGAGCATTACTTGTTTTTTTTTAGCCAAGCATTTTTTAGGTTTTTGCTAACTGATTAATGGTGTTATTGGCAGCTTTTGCGAAGAATGAAAATTGCAGAACTGAAACAGATTTGCTCAAGACCTGATGTGGTTGAGGTAGTTATCTATTCTATCTGCTCCCCTTTCTTAAAAAGATGTTGAATTGTGTAGGCTGATGTTGGTTTCCTTTCATTTACAAGGTGTGGGATGCTACTGCATCAGATCCAAAGTTGCTTGTATTCTTGAAGGCATACAGAAATACTGTTCCGGTACCAAGGCACTGGTGTCAGAAACGGAAGTATCTTCAGGTTAGGAAGTTGTTGCTTAATTATGTATGAAATATGCATTGTTGATGGATATTGGTGCACCATGAGAGTTTAGGGATAGGGTGAGGGGAGATAACAACGATAAGGTTTCTCTTATATGGATATATGTGGTTCTTGCAGGGGAGCGGCAACACTGCTGGAGCCTGAACTTGTATGTGTTTGCCACAGAGTCCCCTATAATTAACTGTCCTTGAATATTTTCTATTGTGTTCGGTTGGCGATGTAGGTGTCAATATGATAATTGCTGGTTCGATTGGGGGTGGAGGAGGTTCTTGTTTGGAAGCCTTAAACTTGTCCTAGTGTCAACTGGAGTGCACATTTTTCACCATGTCATTGCTAATTCATCTACTTTGAACTTTGAATTTACAGATGCCTCTTCTATGCTTAGTGCTGGGTCCCACATTCTTCTGAACCTTTTTCCTGATCATTTGGTTTTGAACCAAAGTTACTGGATAAGTAACTAAATGGTCTAGGGTAATCTGCGTAGTTACTACCTTGCTGGTACCTTATCCGGTTCGATTTTCGTTTTTGCAGGGTAAGCGTGGTATTGAGAAGCAGCCATTCCAGCTCCCTGATTTCATTGCTGCAACAGGAATTGAAAAAATTCGTCAGGTAAATTTTGTGTTCGCAAATTTTGTACTTGTTTATTGTTGATAAGTGTTAACTTTTGACTGCTTTAACTTCCAGCTGGGTGTTTGTAATAATTTTCTGCTATGTCTCCAATTTATTATCCCGTAGTCAAGTGATGATGCCTTTACGAGGTCCTAAAAGCTTACTGGTTGACGTCAACCAAATACGGTTTGCCTTTTCACATAGTGTAAGATGATCTGGATGTTTATGGTTTGGTGATGTTGGCTGAATTTATTGTTATGGAACATCCTCTTGATGTCTTTCTTTGTCATGATGTATTCTTACTTGATCTTTCTTACCACCCTTTAGAATGGGAAAGTGCGCGACGCGTGGTAGGTTCTTTCTTGTATTGTCTGTTATAGGAATGATTTGTAATGTATGAATATGGATTTCGTCATTCAATATTAACTTTGGACAAAAATCATTACTGCTTTCTTCAATTGAGCAGGCATATATTGAGAAAGAGGATGGTAAGAAGTTGAAGCAGAAGCAACGAGAGCGAATGCAGCCTAAGATGGGGAAGATGGACATTGATTATCAGGTTTCGTTATCTGGCAATGTTGTTTTTTCTTTTTTTCTGGTGTCATCTTTGCTTTGTATTTATTGCTGCTCTGTGCCAATGACTTCTTTTGCAGGTTCTCCATGATGCCTTTTTCAAGTTCCAAACAAAACCAAAATTAACTAGTCACGGTGACTTGTACCACGAAGGGAAGGAATTCGAGGTACAAACTCATCATTTCTTGGGTTTTCATGCTCATTATTGCTTCAGTCTCAATTCTTCAAATTTGTGGCATTTTTTTCTCCAGTTTGTTCATCATCATAGACTTGAAAGTATATAGTTTTACTGGTATGGTCTGCTTCATATATTTGTCTACCCTTATAGGTGAAACTGAGGGAGATGAAGCCAGGGTCTCTTTCGCAAGAACTAAAAGAAGCTCTTGGTATGCCTGAAGGTGCCCCTCCACCATGGCTTATCAATATGCAGGTATAATCTTTTGGATATTTATCATTTAAGTGTAATTTTACCTCATCCTTGTTCTTACTATGTGATTATTGATCTTGTTTCTGCAGAGATATGGTCCTCCGCCATCATACCCGCATTTGAAGATCCCTGGACTGAATGCACCAATCCCTCCAGGAGCTAGCTTTGGCTATCATCCCGGTGGCTGGGGCAAGCCTCCAGTTGATGAGGTGAGTTATTAATGTCGTAGCCTGCAACATTGGACTAGTACTGCATAGGAAGTTACTTACTGGTCTCATTTCCCTAGTGATAACTGATTTACTTTTTGTGTTTCTTTATAGTATGGGCGGCCTTTGTATGGAGATGTTTTTGGGGTTCAGCAACAAGAACAGCCTAACTACGAGGTAATTTTCTTATTCTGGTTATGCTACTCTGTGTAGTCGAGGGCTTGGTAATTACCTTGAAAGTATGTATTCATGGACTTGCTGATATTTGCGCAATAATTATTAGGAAGAGCCGGTTGATAAGAGTAAGCATTGGGGTGATTTGGAGGAAGAGGAAGAAGAGGAGGAGGAGGAGGAAGAAGAAGAAGAGATGGAAGAAGAGGAACTTGAGGATGGCATTGAGTCTGTTGACAGTCTTTCAAGGTATCAAGTTACAATTTGTTTTTTACCTTTTTTCAGTTAGGCCCTCTATTTGGTCCTATTAAGTATGGTCATTTGGGTTTATATATTAATCCTTCAATTGTTTTCATACAGTACACCAACTGGTGTTGAAACACCTGATGTTATTGACCTCCGTAAACAGCAGAGAAAGGAACCTGATAGGCCGCTCTACCAAGTAAGTATAGTTTTACTTGATAACTTGAAATTAACATAATGGTATTGCTGGTTTCAACCGGTAGGAGGTCTAGTACTGAAGTTTCCTACAGTAGGAATAGTACAAGTAGAAGTGTGAAACATTATTGGAATAAGTGAGGTATGTCATATGTGAATTGATCATTTATTCTTGTACTCCTGTTGATTCTTGTAGGGTTGATGGTAGAAATTAGTAAAATATGTGAGTTGCATGAAATGGCTAAAATGATCTTACAGACTTCTGCGAATTTATAGAGGAGAAAGGGGTAGGATTTGAATGTAGAATTTCAAAGGTAGAGTGGCACTTTAATTTTAAATTTGATTTCGAAGGTGGAGTTGGCTTTTAGATTAACTGAAGGCACCAATGACAGGCACCAGCCAGCTCAATAGTTAACAGAGCTTTTGCTACTTATGATCCTAACATGGCTGTTTCATGTGCTCCTTTGTCGACAGGTTCTCGAACAAAAGGAAGAGAGTATTGCTGCTGGAACGTTACTTGGCACAACTCATACGTATGCTTTTGTTTGTTTCCTCTCTGTAACCCTAATTTGAAAACTGCATAGTCCTGGGTGATTTCTGAGTCTCGTATTTGGATATGGCTGCAGGTATGCAATTCCTAGCGGTACTACCCATGATAAGAACGCTGCTAAAAGGGTGAGAATTTTATTACCGGATGGATTGTGCCCGAAATCCACGAGTCAATGAATTGTTTTAAATTAATTGTGTGGCTCACCAAAAAAAATGATTGCACTATCTATCCATTTTACCATGTTATCCTCAACATCAAGAGGAAATTATTCAAAAATTATGGCACTCAAATACTGCCCCTATTTAATTCTGGGCCAACTTAAAATCCACGTACCCAATTTTTTACAAAAATCAGTGGACCAAGCAATGGTTTCCAGTGTTATTTCCAAAAAACACATTATTTTGAAATCTATAAACTCAAAAATCGCTAAAAATTAATCAATTTACCAGCCGTTAAGATTATTGGTCTTCAAGTTTTCAGTTAACTTTTTTTTTTCCTCACAGGTGGATCTGATTAGGGGAAACAAGGCTACTGACAGAGTGGAGGTTAGTTTGCAGCCTGAAGAGTTGGAAGTCATGGACAATGTTCTATCTGCCAAGTAAGATGTCATTTTTGTGATTTCGATACTGTATGATCCTCGTCACTGGGGTTTAATGCATTAGTTTACAAGGGTGGGTTGATTGGATTTTCAGGTACGAGGAAGCCAGGGAAGAGGAGAAATTGCGGAGTCAAAAAGAGGACTTCAGTGACATGGTTGCAGAGGTTTGTTTCCATATTATTCGCTCATTTCACCTAGTAGAGCTGTTTGAAACTCGTTAGCTGGCACTAGACAGAGAAATGACTGCGAAATTCAATTCCTGTTGGTGCAGAATGAAAAGAAAAGGAAGCGCAAAATGCAGGACAAGGAAGGAAAATCGAAAAAGAAAGACTTCAAGTTCTGAGGAGGGAGACATGCGAATTGAACCACTGTTAATGTTCTACTACCCGACACGAATAACAAATTTGAGCTTTTTGAATCCTTGTGCACTGTGTATTGTTTTATCGACACGATGAGATAGTTCTTGCTAATTAGGGCACGGAGCGGCTGGCTGGAAGAGCGAATGTTTAATGCAAAGTCTTCAGGTAGAGATGAAAAAGTGTGCTTATTCACAGTGTAACAAGAGCATTGATTTCTAGGGCTAGATAAAGATCTGTAACCTACATCTTCCCCTGTTTTGTGCAACTTTGTTGTATGAACAAGGAGATTGCACTGATATTTTATTAAACGTCTTCTTTTGGGAAGCCCTTTGTTCCATCGAGGTGGAAACTTGATCCCTTGGATCAACGAGAAGTTATGGCTATGAAATTGTATATAAATGGTGTTTGAGCCAAGTTCCTTTCCTCCCAAGCCTGGTTGTCCTTCTTCCTCTTCCCTTTGCGGCGTGGCGCCTTCTTTCCTTCTTCTTTGGGCACGGAGCACCTAACATCCTGCACACAAGGCCTAGCGGATCTGGGTGGTCCGTTAGCACTCCAACGCTCAAATAAAAGTTTAGAAAGGGAAGTTCCAACCTGAGTAGATGAGGTTCACCAACTCTCTTATTTATACCCGAAGCCTCGCCGACCATTGCCCCCGAATCCGCCTCACGTTATCCCTACATTAAATGCACTGCACTTTCACATTGCCGGGCACCTCGACCACCTGACACGACGTTCAGAGGTTCGAGGCGCATGACCTCATTTGCTGCGCCCTCCGTATGCTTTCGGTCATTATGCTTTTTTGTCTTTATGCATTTTGTGTCAGAATCTTATCACACTCCTTTAGCCTACATTTTGTGTCAAAAGCTGCGACTCGGTTGAGGAGAGTTTCTCAAATGTGTATTAAGTTATAGGTGTGTCGGAGTGGTGGAGGGGTGTTCTATCTATTGAAGTTAGAGGTGGCAAATGGATTCGATTCATGAACCATAAATTAGTTCATGTATTCAAATAACATTCAAGTTTTGGACTAATATGTTAATTTTGAAAATTTTAGGTACTAGAATGTCATAAATAAAAAAATTAGTTATCAAAATATAATTTTCCAATGACACTTATAATATAAAAAGATAAATCTTAGGTACCAAATTGCTAAATATAAAAATATAGGTACTAAATTATAATTTGCTAATAATCTATGAATCCAAGCCATGAATATATCACTCTTATTGGATTCGATCAAATAGATTGAATTTAAATGAATTGGATTAAATGAATATTTAAGTAGATGGATTGGATTGGTGGATTGTATAATAAATTGCCACCCGCACAAGCTAAGCCTTTTCTTTCTTCCTTTCTCACTCTACTTCATTTAAGTGGTGGCCTAGTGAAGGGGTTCGGTTCTTGAATATATTTGTTCTTGTATTTTGCTTACTTTTGGTAGGATTTGCTTCTTATTGACAACAAAGCTAGGCAAAACTTGAGCCAGGATAAGTAAACATAAAGCTAAACCAAGAGAAGCTTTGTAAGGTGAGATTCGGGTATATAATCTTTATCTAGATCTTGCTCTTATTTTGATGAGATAAGATCTAAAGAGTGAGATTAAAAGGTTTCTTCTATTTTTTTACTCGATTTGTACAAATTATTAAAAAAAAATTCAAAACCAAATATACCTCCTAGTACATAGTGGTAAGTGATGATAAACGATGGTGAAATGTGATTAATATATTTATATTATCAGGTATACAACCATTGTACACAGATATATTCATACCACTATGGTACACTTCAATACAATATGATACAAATTTATTTGGGTTAATTGTAAGGATGGTCACTGGGTTTACAAAAACCGTTCATGTTTGGTCACTGCAAATATTTAATTCCATTCATGGTCACTAAGATTAGTTCAATAGTTCAAGTTTGGTCACTCTCCATTAGTCTCCGTTAGTTTTTGCTGATGTGGCAGTCAACTATTGTAGTTGACCGTTAAATGAGTGACGTGGCCAATAAAAAAAAATAAAATTTAAATATTTTACAATTTCAACCTCATTTTACAACTATTAAACTAATAAAAAATAAATATTTACAATTCAACATAGTGGAGAGCGTGAACTAGAAAAACTCCACAAATTACTAGTTATAATCTGTAATGCAACTGAAGTAGAAAAGATTTGAGCTTCATTACCTTGGCTGCAAGGTTCTTAAGCTTGAGATGACTACCATCATTGGTGCGGCCATTCTGATGAGTTGATTCATCGTCGCCATTCAATTCCGATCTGGCATGGAGTTCAGGGCAGCAGTCGATATCCTCGAAAACGACGATCGATTTGTTCTGGATCGAGAGCAGGGCATGCCGCAGCTCATAATCAGAGCGAATGTTGCCCAGCTCCATAACATAGAGCTTGAACTTCAAGTGATTGGACATGGCAGCAACAACACTCGATTTCCCAGTTCCAGGTGGCCCGTGCAGCAAGTAACCCCTCTTCCAAGGATCCCCATTCTTCTTGTAGAAATCCCTCCTCGCCACAAACCTCTCCAGATCATCCACAATTCTCCTCTTCAGCTCCCCGTCCATGGCGATCGTGTCGAACGTCTTCGGATGCCTCGACTCCATCGGTCTCCAACCCCCGGCGCGAAGACATTCGGACCAACACCACGTGAACAGCTGCAACTCGGGACACATGTCCTCGAACACCTGGTAGACATCGCGGAGGTAGCGATTCAAAACCTTGCCTCGGTTCCGCGACTGAAACGTCAACCGGTAGCAAAGATCGGAACTCCCGTAGCCATCATCATCGCCGGCATCACCACCGCCACCTTCTCCGATCATTCCCCGTCCGGCAAGCCCTCCGGCCCGGCCGATCATCCGTCTACCTTTCGCATGAGGCAGGTGCCAGCCACTCCATCTCCTCGCCGTCGAACACGTCGACGACCGTCTCCCCACCGACCAGCGCGGTGGCGAATCGCTTCTTCTTGTGAAACTTGCCGACGCGGAATTGCTTGTTCTCCGGGCCGATTTTGGTGGGGAGGTGGAAATTGTAAATATTTATTTTTATTAGTTTAATAATTGTAAAATATTTATTTTTAATAGTTGTAAAATGAGGTGGAAATTGTAAATATTTAAATTTTTTTTATTATTTTTTTTTATTGGCCACATCACTCATTTAACGGTCAACTATAATAGTTGACTGCCACATCAGCAAAAACTAACGGAGACTAACGGAGAGTGACCAAACTTGAACTATTGAACTAATCTTAGTGACCATGAATGGAATTAAATATTTGCAGTGACCAAACATGAACGGTTTTAGTAAACCCAGTGACCATCCTTGCAATTAACCCAAATTTATTTACTACCAAACATTAAAATTATGATCCTGAATCATCATTTATGTCAAATTTTTTTAAAAAAATATGAAAGAGTGGATGTCATATTAAAGAGCACAATTATTCTTATTTTTCTAACAAAAAATCTGAATTCCGACATAAAATAACATAGATATAACCCATTAAATTACATAAAGGAAAATTTTATGCATGTACAGTAACCAAGTAGATTACTGGGGCAAAAGACCGGCTGCCGTAACCTGTCTAATCAGAAGGCATGTTACGTTTGATGAAGAGCAGAAATAGAAACAAAGATTGGGAGAATGCAGCTCCTCTCCTTGCTCCCTCTCCCTGCAAAATTAGAATGTAACTTGAAAGAAGTCGTGTCCGTTCCAGTTGGAGAAGATAGTGAAGTATCACTAGGTGTAGATGAGACAACTGCAAAACTAGGTGCATAACTGCATACACTGTGTCGACTACTCTCAGAAAGGCACCTAGTCATAACAGGGAGCTTTTGCACTCAGACACCATGGCACAAGTCTGCAAATTCAGCCTAGGGTTCTGAGTTGATCACACAGTTATAGAAAGACACATCAATGAAGTGGCAGAACTGAAAAAGAAGAGGGGATTGCTTCTGCATTGTCTGAAACTAATGATGTACCAACCAGGATCCAGAAGATTTCATTTGCCTTTACAACAAAGTGCTGATATCAATCCAACACACTTGCACATGGAGTTTTCAATAAAACAAATCTTAATCCTTCCAAGATTAGCAAGTAAGCAAGCAAACGTGTATCATCAGCTCATGAAATATACTTTTCCTGCTGCTCTTGAAGTAGCTTCGCTGAGGACTTGGCGTCCAGATATAAGCTACATACTTCCTCGAGATCGGCCTACCAATATAACCAGCAAGCAAGTAAGCAGCAGTGAATCGGAAAAGTAAGAAATTGTCCAGGGGAATTATGAGTTTGCACTTTCCACTGGTTCATAAATGGGATGTTAGGTATCTACCTTGCAGATATTATCTCTACCATTCATCTTTGCTACAATGCTGGCGGGAGATAAGAGCTGAACAGAATGCCTGATGAAGAAACGTGGTTCACAAGTTAATTATACAAGAGGGCGGAAGTTTTGAACTTACTATCTCATAGCTAGTAACAGCTAGAACTGATATGTCCAGAATCTAATTCAAGGAAAGAACTTATAGTACCAACCTTAAGGATGTCTGCTGACCGATCTCTCCGAGGAATGCTAGACTTTCTTCATCAACTACCAATTCCTCGACCTGTGCACGAATTGCTAATATCTAGCCAGACAACATGATCATGTCAGTTGTTAGACTTGTTAACTTCTAGGGAAGGTTTTAAGCAAACAGAAGTGGGGAACTTGAGGAGAACCTGTATCATTTCTGCAGGGCCATAAATTTGTGTCCGTATAATCACCAAGCGGTCCAGCAAGTCAACAGGTATGCCATGCGGACTATTCATATCAGTCCCTCTGCAGAATAACATACAAAAACTCCAGTTTAAGAACAGGGACGTGCAGTTGGACTGTTATTTACAATGCAACACCTAGAGAAAGTGGAAGCGAAGAAAAGATTGATTACCATGCTTACTAGCTTATCTGATACTTATTAAAACCTTTAACCTTAATTAAATTCTGACATTATATTTAAGTGAACGTGAACTGAAAATTGATTTTGTATCTAATTTACACATCTTACTCTACTGCGGTAGGGTAAAATTAATAGATATCAGCGATGATATAATGTTTTACAGTTAGAAGCCTGAAAATTATTGAAAACGCACCTTACATTACATATTCCTCTATTAGTTGCAAAGATAACTATAGGAGACAATGAGCTCTCTAAAGCCCGATTCATGTACGAGAAGCACTCCATATCCAGCATGTGCACCTGATAAATGGAATTGACAGGATCAGAAAAAGAATGAGATATAGTCATAAATTAGGTTGCAGAAGTGGTGGGAAAAGGACCTCATCAATGAACAGAACTCCAGGAACAAGTTCTGCCACACCTTCATCAATGTACCTATTAACAACCTGCCATAAAAAAGAGCCTCCCTTGTGACAGTCCATTAATTATGTACAGTTGAAACCAGCATAGGAGCTCGGAGCTATTCGATGGCAGGAAAAAATATAAGAGCTAATGAC